ACATAGACAACCATGGATTCAGGTCTCTAGGTCATCCTGAAAACACACCAGGACCCAGGATCCTGAGAGGCTGGAGGGCTGGGGGAAGGGGCTTACCCAAAGAGCTTTTCTGCTGAAAGAGTCTTCCCCAATGAGCATGCTCCCAGGTCTGGAAATGAGTTATTTATTTATTTATTTTTCAGATTTTTGCCATAGGCTGTATGCGCTTGCCAGAGAGATATGGTGATTGGGAGGAGGAGTTAGAAATCAACCCCAGAGGCCATGGCTATCGTTACAATCCCTTCTCTTCCATTCTCCTCTGGGGAATTTGGGTACACACACATCTGTTTTACAAGCCATCGGGTCTAGACTCGAACCACATACTTGGCCACGTAGGATCCAATGCCTTAATCACCATGCCACCTGCTGGCTTGAGATGAGATTTTCTGAGGGTGATTCCTCTGTGTGTCTCTCTATCTCATGTATGTAACATAAAAAAAAAAAAAAGTTAAAATGGGCTTAAAATTTAATCTACTGGTATATTGAAAAGTCAGTAAATTTTATGGTTAGTAGACAGGGTAGATTATTTAATGACACTCCCATGTCCTATACTATCTTACGTAGATCTCCTAGATCATGACCTTATATTTATAAATTCCTTTAATAAATTGTTTTTGAATTACCCGATTTGAATGTGCCATTCCATTTCCTGCTGCAACCCTGACCAGTTCAACAACTAGATTCAGGAGTGGCACCAAAAATCAGACACCAAACTGGATCCTAGGGTCAGGCTGCATCACGTAGGAGAGCATGGCGATGCCCACCTTGATGGGTGGAGATGGGGCACAAGGGAAGCAAGACCTGTGCTGACATCACAGTTACCGTCACGGTACAAGAGGTGCAGGCAGAGGACAAGGAATTGGGAGTCGGAGTGGCCGGACACTTTGTCATTTTGGCAGTGGAAATTGCCTAAAAACAAGCATGGGGGAAGGGGGCAATTGGAAGATGAGAGTATGCAAATGGATGTGAGAGGGCGATCAGAAAGCTTCCCTGGCAGTGAGTCCCTTGTCTCCTATATAGACCCCGGGCAGATTGGCTGGGGACTAAACCAGAGACCAAGTGAAAGATTTGCAGTTTCATGACCACAGAAGTGTTGTTCAAGTAAGTTAAAATGAAGACTGGGGCCCAGTTGTGGTGGTGTGTGCCTGTAATCCTAGCAACTTGGGAGCCTAAGGCAGGACAATCAAGAACTTGAGACTGGTTTGGGCAACACAGTGAGGCCTTGTCTTTATAAAAGGACCCCGGAGTGGTGGCATGCACCTTTAATTACAGTTACTTGGGAGGCTGAGGCAGGGGGATCATGACAAAGTCAGATCCTGTCTATTTTTTTTTTAAAGGTTTTTGCCATAGGGTAAGCATGCTTGTCACAGAGAGAGAAAAAATGAGAAATCATTCCCAGGGGAGGATGGCCACTCTGTAAGTCCTTCTCTGTTCTTCTCTCGGGACCTTGGACATGCATGCACATGTTCCCAGCATGATTTTCAAGCCTCTAGGTCTGGGACTTGAACCATGGTTAGCCATGTGGGAGTCTAGCACCTTAACCATTATGCCACCTGCTGGGCCCCAGATCCTGTCTTAAAGAAAAAAATAGACTGGACCCGAAGAATTCCTGCACAGACAAAGCCACTGAGACCTCTTAAGAGGCGTCATCCTTGCTTAAGTTGCAAACATAAGAGAAACTTAACTTGAACTACTTCTTGTAAATGCTTGAATTGAAGAAAAACAGAACTTAAGCCCAACCAGCCAGCAGTATCCAACACGTTTGTAATTCTATAACTAGGGGTTTTCCAGTGGCCAACTGTATTACTATAACCAAACATTTTCTTGGCTTTACTTCTGAGCTTGTGTTGTAAAAGTCTCCCTCTTGCATTCCCCTGATGGAGCGCTCTTGAGCCAATTCCGGTTTGGAGTTGCCAATTCATGATTCATTATTTGAAACAAACAAACACTGAAATTTCATTGTGCATTTTCCTTTTGAACAGTGTTCACTCCCACGATGCTGAGCTAAGGAAAAGGCATTGATGGAGAAGGGAGTGTGGCCCTGAGACATGGGATAGAAACCCTGGGCAGACCAATACCCCCACACGCTGGTTGCCAGTGAGGATATCCCCACATCCACCTGAGGGAACCAGTCCCACCCTGTATGAAAGTTTGTCAACAATTGCACCTGGGGCATTGCCTCGTGAGAAGGTACTTGCTTTCCTCCACATCAACAAGAATGAGGATCCAACATAGCCAGACAGAGAAATGTAGACCTAGTCTGGGCAAGAGAGCCATGAACTGAGAGTATGATAGGACCTCACCCATCCACTCTGGCATAAGTCCTGGAGCATGTGCAGAGACAGCCTCTGTGCCAATTATTCTTTTTTGGGAAGAGGTTTTCGCTATAGGGCGCGTGCACTCGCCAGACAGAGAGAGAGAGACATAGAGACAGAAAGCGAGAAATCACCCCCCAGGGGAGATGGTCACGCCACAATCCCTTCTCCTCCATTCTCCTCTCGGGATCTTGGGCATGCACGCACACGCGCCCGGCGTGAGTTTTAAGCCACCGGGTCCAGGACGTGAACTGTGGTCGACTACGTGGGAGTCCAGCGACATAGCCATTACTCTAACTGCTGGTCTCCTGTGCCAATTATTCTTTTATTGCCTCTCAGCTCCAGAACCCCTTTCATCACTCCACTTGTGATACCAGAGCTAGATCTTACAAGCATATTTCGTGGTCTCCCTGGCATAATATTAGACTTTGCTTGTAGAGGGTGATAGGGACACATACGAGAGGAAGGGCTTCTCCTCCAGTTCTAGGGAGTGCAAGAGGGTTTAGAGGCTTTTCTAAGACAAGCACAGAAGTAAAGCAAAGAAAATGTTTGACTGGTTAGTAAGACTGTTGGCCACTGGAAAGTCCCTAGTTGTAGAACAGAGGTAGATGTTGCCTATGAGTCCAAAGTTTCGGGGAATGGGAACTCCAGAATAAAATGGCTGGTTGTGTGCATCCTCCTCACCTTACCATAGCCCCCAGGAAGGCATTAAGAAATATATTGTGAGACCAGCTGATGGCATAATGGTTACATCGCTGAACCTCCACGTAGTCAACCATGCCAGGCACGTGTGCATGTGTGCCCAAAATCCCATGGAGGAGAAGGGATTATGGTGTGGCCATTCCTCTTGAGGGGTAATATCTCGCTTTCTGTCTTTCTCTCCAGCAAGCACACACACCCTGTAACAAAAATCTCTCTCTCAAACAAACAAAAAAGATAAAAAGAAATGCGTTGAGAAGGGCACCTCAAGAGCTCTGTGCTAGCTCACCTCTGAGGCAGAAGATGCTTATAAGAAATGCTGAAATAGAGTTGAGTTCCCTGATCTCAATAGGTAAAAAGAGAAACTTAGAATGGACAAGTGGTGACTGTGAGCATTCAAAGACAAAGTATCCCCCATTACTAAAATGAGCCCCAAAGCAAAAGGTCATTAGAGTGTTTCAGTAGTGGGGAAGCAGGTCTCTAAACATGAAATAAATGGAAAGTCTATGAAGACACTGCTTGATACATAAGAAATGCTCTGCCTCTGATGACTGGAGTCTCCACAATGACCTTTTATCCAGTTTCCGGACTGAGCCAGTTCACAGACCTGGCACCCCATGAATGAAGTGAAGGCTGGGGCAGTTGGAGAGGATCCTGAATTGCAGTCAGTGGTGTAGACTGATTCTTCTTCCACACCAAAGAGACCTGGACCATTTGTCTGGGGAGTTGGGCAATGTTCAGATCTCCCAGGGATTACTTGGACAATGGGGATACTAATCCCCACCGTGAACCAGGTGAGGAGGTTAGGTAGACTTTTGGCTTAAGTTCTTTTCCTGGTGGGCCAAATGAGGCAGGACTCATCTTGTTATTTATGTTATCCTAGAAGGTATCAGATTAGGTAAGGGAGGGGGGGCGGGCAGCAGGTAGCATGGAGGTTAAGGTGACTGTATCCCACACAGCAAACTGTGTGGTTTGAAAGTCATGCTGGATGCATGTGCATGCTTGCCTAAAATGCCAAGAAGAGAATGGAGGCAAAGGGACCGTGAAGAGACCATCTCCCCAGGAAGTGATTTCTCATGTTATCTCTCTCTCTGGAAAGGGCACATGCCCTATGGCAGACTAAAAATAAAAGAGAGAGAGAGAGAGAGGAGAGAGAGAGAGAATAGGCAACTGGGAAAGAGCCCCTTATAGGTTTCCTGATATAGGATGAGGATCACTATGGTAGGGTTGATTTTGAGGGGGAAAGAGGTGGATTGTGCTGTACTCTTTCTGTTTTCTTCTCCAGATTCACTCTCCTCCCCTCTCCCCTCTGCTTTACCTTGTGAGTGGCAGGTCTAATGAGAATGCCTCAATGAGATCTCCTTCTTTCCAGCTTCCAGTTGGGCTCAGACAATGGGGAGACCAGAGGAAGGACATTGCGTAGGGCTGGAATGTTAATTCCCCACCTCCTCCTTGTATGTCACTGAGGGCTGAGTGTATTCTTCAGACTGAGATCAGAATTCCCGTCAGGAAAATCTCTCCCCTGACCCCTGTCTCTCCAGATTCCAGCAATGGATCCTTCTTCTCACCCTTTCAGGCCTGGGGTGGTAACAGAGACCCAATGATGACAATCCTGAGAAGCGACACTAACCCTTTTGTTCTCACAAGCTCTTACGTCAATTATCCCATGACTAACCTCTCCTCCAGGTGCACAGATGAGGTGTGCTGGGTCTGGTTGCCAAGGGAGACCCTTACTGGCCTTGCATCTTCATCTCCCAGATCACAGTCATACCCAAATACGTCTGGCTACAGCAGAGACTCTGCTACCCCCAAAGCAGAGATGTGGAGATGTGGACCAGACCAATAAAGGATGGGCCGCAGATACGGATTCTTTCACTTGATGCCACCTGATACTCTCTCTCCATGCCAGATCTCTTCCCCTCCCCTCACGTAGAGAAATCCCAGCACTGGGAGAAAGGGCAGGCTCTTTATTATCAGACACATTTGATCACTCTTTGAATGACCCTCTCCCACAAGGCAAGTTCAATTGCTCCCAGGCCTCCCATATGTTACCACCAGGTGATAACATGTGTGCAGGAGTGTGGGACGGATCATTTATGAAGAGAATAGGAAACTAATCGATGTCCGAGGTTATTAGGTTATGAGACTAGAGAGAGGGCTGGGTTTGGGTGGTCAGCAGAAGTTAAAAAATCATGGGGAAATGGAGTTAGTGAGCATGGCAAAGCCTCTCCCTGTCCCCGCCAACCAAAGGACTAGAAATGGCCCCAGCCCCATCACCCAAGAGAGGTAGGGGACAGGGGCAACTCCATCTTTCATAAGAGGATAGTTATCTGAATCCTCATTCTCCTTCAAGATTTTTGTCACAGAGAAGATGCCAATATTCTGGAGGCGGTTGGACAAGGAGCTGGTAGGTTGGGCCACACACCCTTGAATGCTCAAAGGGGAGGATAATCCACCTAGAGGGTGAAGATCAAGTCAGAGGACACAAAACATAGCACATCTAAATCCCTAGGACCCAGGATCCTGGGCCCCAGTCTCTCCTTCCTGAGCCCTCAGCCCCTCCTCCACCCCAGACCCAGGAGTCCAGGCCCCCAGCCCTCCTCCCTCAGACCCAGGAGTCCGGGCCCCCAGCCCCTCCTCCCTCAGACCCAGGAGTCCAGGCCCCCAGCCTCTCCTCCCTCAGACCCTGAAGTCCTGGCTCACAGTCCCTCCTCTCTCGGACCCAGGAGTCCAGGCCCCATCTCCTCCACCCCAGACTCAGGAGTCCAGGCCCCCAGCCTCTCCTCTCTCAGAGCCTGGAGTCCAAGCCCCCAGTCTCTCCTCCCTCAAATGCTGGAGTCTGGTCCCCAGCTCCTCCTCCTTCAGACCCAGGAGTCCAGGCCACCAGCCCTCTCATTTCAGGGACCCAGCCTCTAGCACTCACCTCCTCTGAGAATGACAGTGTCATCATAACAATGAGTGGTCCCACTGGGGCAGGTAACCACATCAGAGTTGGGCGAGCAAGACCCAGATAACTGCACACAGACAGGACAACTCACGTTTCCTGGAGCAGGGGCAGCTGGGAAGCAAACAGAAGGTTAAGGGTGCACAGCTCTGCTCTCAGCTGCAGCCACCTGCCTTGAGCCCAGATGTCTGTAGTTCTAGGGTCCCTGTATCCATACCTGGGCGAGGGAGGGCATTCAGCAGGACACTGCTGGTGTTGGCTCTGTTGCAGTGGTCAGAGGAGCATAAGCGGGTATAGGAGGCGATGAGCACTCCAGGGGGTCCCAAGTGTACGGAGACCCTCTGGGACTCTTGTGCCCCAATCTTGCTGCATCCTTTGCTGCCCAGAAGGAGTGAGCTTTGTCCTGAGGAGGTGAAAAAGTGAAAGCTGGGCTGGGGGAGGGAAGCTCCAGGAGCAGGTGGGGCTTGGGAGCCAGACTCCCTGTACTGGATTCCACAATTCTCCCTAGGCCTCTCCGGAAGCCTCCTGGCTATAATAGATAGCGCTGGTCATGTTCAGTGTAGGGCAGCACCAAGGCCAGCTCCTGGGTCCTCCCCGCCCAGCTCCACCACCTCCCATCACCTTCTCCATAGAACCAGGCCTGAGCATTCGTATTAAAACGGAGGCCTTTCCCTCATTTTCCTATCTCCTTTTTTTTTTTCCCCTTGTCGGGTTTCTCTTCAGAGTTATCTTTGTACCCTCATGTTGCTCCTTTTTGTTTTCTGTTTCTGCATTGCACATAAAGCTGCAAGAAGGTAGATGCAATTGGGTCTGCTTGTCTAAAACAGGAGCTCTAGAAACACTTCTTCTGACGGGTGAAGTCACTCAGGCTCCTCTTTGCCGGCAGCAGCTCAGCCTTTGCATGGGTGGCCATGCCTAGCCTCAGGCTTACCCAGTGGTAAAGTCAGTTGAGCTGACAAAACCAGGCAGGCCTTCCACGTGACTTTGGCCATGTTTGACTTGCAAATATAAGTGAAATTTGACTTCAGCTATTTCTTGTAAAAGCCTAAACTAAGAAAAACCGAACTTCTGCTCATCCAGTCAGAAGTAGCCTACCGATTATATAACTAGGGACTTTTCTAATGAGATGGGCCAACAAAGCAACTGTAACTGTAACCAATCAGTGTTTGTGTTGCTTTGCTTCTGCGAGCATCCTGTGGAGGTTGCTCTCGGGCTCCCTTGGGGGACAGTTCTTGAATCACTTTGAGTTTGGAGCTGCCTGATTCATAAATTGTTGTTTGCTCAAACAAACAATTTTAAATTGTCTTGTGCCTCAGGTTGCTTTTTTATTTTTTAAAAAACCATTAATTTTATTTATTCTTATTATTTTTTAATTTGCTACAGGACACATGCACTCACCAGAGAGAGACAGAATAAATGAGAAAACAAGCCATCACGCCTGGGACTTGTGAGAGTCCACTGTCCCAACCACCACTGGCATCTGCCAGCCTCACCCCATTTGCTTTTTTTTCTTGGAGAGGTTTTTGCTATAGGGCGCGTGTGTTCGCCAGAAAGACAGAGAGAGACAGAGAGATAGAAAGCGAGAAATCACCCCCCAGGGGAGATGGCCACGCCGCAATCTCTTCTCCTCCATTCTCCTCTTGGGCTCTTTTTTTTTTTGGACTGTTTTTAATTTGTCCTAAAGTCATCGAAGCAAAAATCATGATAAAACATTCTGCTTTCCTTTATAATTGCCCAACACAAAAACAAACAAACCAACAAAACTATTTGTAGGAAAAAATGGCTTTGTACATGGGATGAAACAATATAAATTCAAAACTTACAGATAAGGGTTAGCTCTCTCGCTCATCTCTTTAAAAAGTATATATGAATATCCAGTCAAACCCAACAAGAGTATCTCCCTTGAAACGTTATTTCTGCGGCTTTCCAAGTAGACCACAGGACTACACACTGTCTTGGAATGTCCTCAGAAGGCTCTGCCAGGGACCAGGTAACAGAGTGAAAACCCCAGAGTCCTTTCAAATAGAAGAGGGAAGACAGAGGGACAGAGAAACTATTCAAACTTCGTCTTCTTTCCTTGTGGCTTGTGGTCTCCTCCTCCTCCCCTGCCTCCTCGGAAGCCACCTTGCCCTCCAAAGCCTCCTCGGCCTCTGCCACCAAATCCACCTCTGCCTCCTCTGCCTCCACCTTGGCCTCCAAAGCCTCCTCTGCCTCCACCTCCTCTTGGGATCTTGGGCACGCATGCAAACGCACCCGGTGTGAGTTTAAGCCACCGGGTCTGGGACTCAAACCCCGGTCAGCTACATGGGAGTTCAGCGAAATAGCCATTACGGTAACTGTTGGTCCCTCCATTTGCTTTTTAATACAAGCAGCAAAGATACTGCCATAGCCTTGCCCTCAGTTTTCATAAGAAGAAACTGAGGTGCAGAGACAGAAGGAGATGGATTGGACTGAGAACTCCAAGTGTGGGAAGAGCTGGCAGGAGATTCAGGGGATGCACCCCCAGGTGGTGCAGGGTGTCTCCCTCTGGCCCAGCCCACGCACCTACGTCTATGAGCAGCAGCGTCTCCTGACACACCTCTCCAGTGTTGCAGATCTGGCTTCCTCCTACGGTCCAGTTGACAGGTTCTTGAGACAAGCCAGGCCTCATCCAGAGCGTGAGCCCCCGATGACAGGTCAGAAAATCTAAGGAGAGGAAAGCACGGGAGTGTGTATACCAAGGAACCCTCTGTGTCTGTCCCCCCACATTCCGTAGTGGGGTAGGTGATTACGCTCTCAGTCACGCTCCTGGTGACCTGACCACAGAATCCCTTGATCTTGGATTTAGAAGGGACGTGGGAAGACTAGCTCCCCACCATTGTTTCCCTCACTTCTGCTTCAACAGCACAGGGGCCTCCTGTCCCAGCCCCTTGAGGAAGGCTGCTCCCCTCCTCGGTTTGAGAGATGGATAGCTCTTTTTCACCCTTAGATCTCTACCTCTCTACTTGGTCTTCAAGGTCTTCAGCTGAGTAAAGAAACTAGATATTTCTTTTAACTGAGAAACTCTTCACTCCAAACAAGAGTACTGCCATCTTAGTGTGTACTGTGCATACTTGGTGCCTGGCTAGTTTAATTTCCTTCCGAGGATTAGAGCATTTAATCCTCACAAAGAGCTCATCTCATCCAGACTGCCTGACTTCCTCGCAGCAACCCCTGAAGGAGGGGGTATTACTATCATCATCACCCTTGTTTTCAAGATGGGGAAACCGAAGCAGAGGAGTTGTCGGTCTCTTACAGATAGGAAGTGACAGAGGTGGGCTCAGAACACAGGTATTCTGGCTCTCCTGGTAGGGACTGGGTGGGTGATGGGGAAGACAGGGATTAGTGAGCATCCTCAGCTACCTTGGACCCAGAGGCCCTCAGCACTCTGGTTTGAAAGCCTGAGCCTAGGCCTTCCCGAAGCTAAATGATGAGGAGGTAATAACACAACGTTCTGAAAGGCTGACCCGCATGGGAGAGTTCCAGAGTTGCATCCAGAAACCTCCCTGAACACATCAGGCTCCTGTGTGCCCATGTTCTGGGGCTAGCTGAAGCTGAACGTGGATCATGGCATGAAGACCCTTTTGGGGGGACTTCTCTTTCTCTCTCTCTCTTGCTCATGAAAGAAATTAATTTGTTTTAAAAAGAAAGAAAACACACCACACATCACCTACCGTACACACCCCACACCATACCACACACAGACGAATGTGTGATGTATAGGTGGGTGTGTGATATGGTGTGGGGTGTGTATGGTATATGATATGTGGTAAGGCCTTCTCTCTTTTTTTGGAGAGGATTTTCCCTATAGGGTCCGTGTGTTTGCCAGAAAGACAGACAGAGACAGAGAGACAGAAAGTGAGAAACCACCCCCCGGAGGGA